AACCTGCATCCCGATCCCACCAAATCCCATTCCCTGATTCCTTGCCCGTATCCCAGAGCTGCTCCCAGGTCTGGAGATGTGACACGGGCATGGAATGAGGGAATGGGGTTTGGTGGGACGTGGGATGCACGAGCTTGGAGCAGCCTCCTCTAGGGATGCTGTCGCTACCCATAGCCAGGGGTGGGAACCTGCATCCCGATCCCACCAAATCCCATTCCCTCCTTCCCTGCCCGTCTCCCATCCATCTCCAGACCAAGGACTTCATCCACTCCGAGCTCCTGGCCTACCTTTACTCCTCGGCCGACCAGAGCAGCCTCATGGAGGAGTCTGCGGAGCAGGCGCAGCGCCGCGACGAGATGCTCCGCATGTACCACGCGCTCAAGGAGGCGCTGCACATCATCGGCGACATCAGCACCAGCACCGTGTCCACCCCCGTGCCCCCCCCCGTCGACGACACCTGGCTCCAGAGCGGCCCCTCCGCCCACAGGTCTGCTCCCGTTCCCTGCACCGTTCCCTATGGGAATGCCGGGCTCCCAGCGGGCTCCCATCATCTCCCTCTTGTCTCTTCTCCACAGCCCCCCGCCCCAGCGCCGCCCCTCCAGCATCCTGCCCCCGGGCCGGCCCCCGGCCGTGCGCGGCCCCACGCCGGGGCCTCCGCTCATCCCCATCCCTGCCGGGGCTCTTTCCACTCCTTCCTCTTCTTCATCCTCCTCCTCCTCCTCCTCCTCGGCCGCCCCCCCCATCCCGTCCCGCCCCGGACCCCAGCTCCTCTTCGCTGCCAACAACGACCCCTTCTCGGCGCCGCCGCAGATCCCGCTGCGCCCGGCCCGCATCCCGCCTGGAATCCCGCCCGGCGTGCCCAGGTAAGAGCCGCATCCATGGCCTCTGCCATGCGGGGTTGGGGGGGGGGATCCAATCCTCCTTGGAGCCCCCCAATCCGTGCTCACCCCATCCCCATCTCTCTGCAGCAGGAGGCCCCCGGCCGCTCCCAACAGACCCACCATCATCCGCTCGGCCGAGCCCTCCCTCCTCAATTAGGGCTTGGGAATGGGGCTATGGAAGTGGGGGGGACCCCCACCACCACCCCCCCCCCCCAAGCCCTATGTCTAACCCCTGTTTGTGCCCCCCCCCCGCTCCCCCCATAACCCACTATGGATTAGAGATGATTTGGGGGGGGTCACCGTTGCACTTTGTCCCCATCTCTGGCGCTGTGGGGCTGATCTTAGCCCTGCCCCTTTGCTTCCTTCCTCCTTCCTCTTCCTCCTTTCCTCCCCCCCCCCAAATTTTGTATTAATATATTCACTATAAAATCAATGATTTTGGGGCTTTCTCCCCCTTATCCCGAGCCGGGATCCCCCCTTTTTTTGTATAGCTCATCCCGGCTCCATCCCACCGCATTCCCAAAGGGACCCTCGGGGGTGAGACTGGAGCAGCGTGGGGGGGGTGATGGTGATGCTGGAGCCTCCTGGGTTGGTGGCACCGGGAGCCTTTCCCAGCCCCTAGGAGCGGGATCGGGATCGGGATCGGGAGGAAGGAGCCGGGGGCCGGAGGTTGTAAATATTTTTACAGACTTTTATTAATTGTATAAAACCAGGAAAAGGAACAAAAACCCCACCCCCCTCCCCCCCATAACCCCCCCATCCCCATCCATCCCCCCCAGTGCCATGGCCGGGGGTACCCCCCCTTGCTCTGCCGCCTGTAAGTGCCTCCGGTTGTAGCCGATGACTTCCTGACCTAAAGCAAAGAATGAAGAGAATCAGTCAAAATAAAGGGTAAAAACCTGGATTTGAGCATCCTGGGGGGGGGGTTGAGTCAGTGCGGGGGTTGGAATGGATGGGAGGGGGATTGGAGGGGACGGGGTCAATGGGGGATTGGGGGGGCTCAGTGGGGGCTGCAGGGGCTGGGCTGTCCCTTCCCCAGCAACGTCCGTGTGGAGCCGAGCGGAATTCCCGAATGTGGGAATCGTCTGGGTTCCCAGAGCTGGAAAAGCCCAAGGGTTGCTCCGTGTTCAAGCACAAGGTTCTGGATCCCGCTGTGGATCCACCCCATTGGATCCAGATGTGTTCACCCCCCCCGCCCCATTGGATCCAGCTGTGGATCCCTTCCCATTGGATCCGGCTGTGGATCCCCCCCCATTGGATCCAGCTGTGGATCCCTTCCCATTGGATCCAGCTGTGGATCCCCCCATTGGATCCAGCTGTGGATCCCTTCCCATTGGATTCAGCTGTGGATCCCCCCATTGGATCCATCTGTGGATCCCTTCCCATTAGATCCAGCTGTGTCCCCCCCCCCCATTGCATCCAGCTGTGGATCCCTTCCCATTGCATCCCGCTGTGGATCCCTTCCCATTGCATCCAGCTGTGTTTCTCCCCCATTGGATCCAGCTGTGGATCCCCCCCATTGGATCCGGCTGTGGATCCCTTCCCATTGGATCCCGCTGTGGGTCCTTCCCATTGGATCCGGCTGTGGGATCCCCCCTTTAGATCCGGCTGTGGATCCCCCCCATTGGATCCAGCTGTGGGATCCCCCTTTAGATCCAGCTGTGTTTCCCCCCCCATTGGATCCAGCTGTGGATCCCTTCCCATTGGATCAAGCTGTGTTCCCCCCCTTGGATTCAGCTGTGGAACCCCCCATTGGATCCAGCTGTGGATCCTTTCCCATTGGATCCAGCTGTGTGTCCATCATGGTCCGTCCCCGTCCGTGTCTCCCCCCCCCCCCGATCCAGCTGTGGATCCCTTCCCATTGGATCCAGCTGTGTCATCGTCCCCCCCCCCCCGATCCAGCTGTGGATCCCCCCATTGGATCCAGCTGTGGATCACCCCCATTGGATCCAGCTGTGGATCCCTTCCCATTGGATCCAGCTGTGTCGTCGTCCCCCCCGATCCAGCTGTGGATCCCCCCATTGGATCCAGCTGTGGGTCCCCCCCATTGGATCCAGCTGTGTTCCCCCCCATTGGATCCAGCTGTGGATCCCTTCCCATTGGATCCAGCTGTGTCGTCGTCCCCCCCCCCCGATCCAGCTGTGGATCCCCCCATTGGATCCAGCTGTGGATCACCCCCATTGGATCCAGCTGTGGATCCCTTCCCATTGGATCCAGCTGTGGGTCCCCCCCATTGGATCCAGCTGCGCTCCCGCTCTGCCCCGCGGGCGCTAGGACCCAGCGGCGCCCCTGGCCCCACTCGAGCCTCCGACCCAGCAGCCAATCACCGCCCGGCCTTTCGGGGACGGGGGGGCGGGGCCGCTCTCTTACGCCACGCTCATAGGGCGGGGGCGCGTGGGCGGGCGACGCTGGGCCCAATGGCAGCGCGCGTCTCTCGGGCCCAATAGGAAGCGGCCGCGCTGCGGGGTGCAGCGGGGCCGGAGCGGAGCGGGGCCTGGTAGGAGCGGCGCGGATATCGCGATATGGGGGGGGTATTGCGATAGGAGGGGGGCTCATTTGGGGCTGTCGGGGGTCGCTTGTTCCCTGTGCAGGTGGGGGCAGCCCGGGGGACGCTGCGGGCGCCGTTGGGGGGGGATGGGGGCATTCCCGAGGGAATTCCGGCCGGGGGGGGGCAGGGAGGGGGTGGTCCCCCCCTCCCCCCTCCGCTGTGGTGGGGGCTGGGAGCCTCCTTCCTGAGCGGGACGGAGGCGGGAGGGGGCTGGTGGCGGATCCCAAGGGGTGGGGTAACGGGGTGATAACGGGGTAACGGGGTGATAACGGGGTAATGGGGTGATAACGGGGTAACGGGGTGATAACGGGGTAACGGGGTGATAACGGGGTAATGGGGTGATAACGGGGTAACGGGGTGATAACGGGGTGATAACGGGGTAACGGGGTGATAACGGGGTAATGGGGTGATAACGGGGTAACGGGGTGATAACGGGGTAATGGGGTGATAACGGGGTGATAACGGGGTAATGGGGTGATAACGGGGTGGTAACGGGGTAACAGGGTAATAACGGGGTGATAACGGGGTAATGGGGTGATAACGGGGTGATAACGGGGTGGTAACGGGGTGGTAACGGGGTAACAGAGTAATAACGGGGTGATAACGGGGTAATGGGGTGATAACGGGGTAACAGGGTGATAACGGGGTGGTAACGGGGTAACGGGGTGATAACGGGGTGGTAACGGGGTAATAATGGGGTGATAACAGGGTGATAATGGGGTAATGTGTTAATAACGGGGTAACAGGTTAATAACGGGGTGGTAACAGGGTAATAACGGGGTAACAGGGTAATAACGGGGTAATAATGGGATAACAGGGTAATAACGGGGTGATAACAGGATAATAACGGGGTGATAACGGGGTAATAATGGGGTGGTAACAGGGTAATGGGTTAATAATGGGATAACAGGGTAATAATGGGGTAATAATGGGATAACAACGGGGTAATTACGGGATGGTAACAGGGTATTAATAGGATAATAACGGGATAATAACAAGGTAATAATGGGATGGTAGCGGGGTAATAACAGGATGATAACAGTGCAATAACGGGGTAATAATGGGATAATAACGGGATAATAATGGGGTAGTAACAGGATGATAACGGGATAATGGGGTAATGGAATGATAACAGGATAATAACAGGATAATGGGATAACAGGATGATAATAGGATAATAATGGGGTAATAACGGAATAATAACTGGATAATGGGGTAACGGGATAACAGGGTGATAGGATAACAGGATAACGGGATAACAACAGGATAATGGGATAACGGGATAATAATGGGGTAACAATGGGATAATAATGGGATAATAACAGAATAATAACGGGATAATAAAGGGATAATGGGATAACAGGCTTAAGCTCTTCCAGGGGAGGTTTAGATGGAGACTGGGATGAGTAGGGGTTGGGATTGGCAGCAGGGCGCTGCTGGAATCACCATTCCCGGCAGCATTCCCAGCCCATGGCGGCCTCGGGAGCCCTGGGAATGCTTGGACGGGATGGGTCCCGAGCTCCTCCCGCGTTCCCTGAGCCGGCGTTCCCGGTGTGCCCCATGCTCCAGCCATGTCCCTGTGCCAATGCACTGTGAAGCCCAGCGCCTCGGATCCCTGCTGCTTCCCAAGCGGAGCCGGCGTGAAGGTTTTCCTGCACTGGAGCGGGCAGGAGGAGCGGGAATGCTGCCGGATCTACCGCCAGGGCCCGCTCAGCGCCGAGGACATCTGCATCGACCTGGCGCGCCGCATCGGTGCGCGCGGGGGCACGGACTTCCCGACCCCCGGCGTCCCCCACTGGGGACGTGGGGGCTGCCATTCCCGGGAATGCCGCCGCATGGAAGCCCCATTCCCGTTGCAGGGATCACGCCGCTCTGCTACAGCCTCTTCGCCCTCTACGACCCCCAGAGCCGCCTGTGGCTGCCCCCCAACCACCTCTTCCACATCGGCACCGACACCAACGTCCGCCTGCTCTTCCGCATGCGGTGAGGCCCGTTCCCGGCTCTCCCAGCGGGTGAGCGCCCGGCCCGTTCCAGGCGCTTGGAAGCGGCTCTTTCCTCCCTGCTTTTCCAGGTATTACTTCCGGAATTGGCACGGGATGGATGGGAAGGAGCCGGCCGTGTACCGCAACGCCCCGCGCCACGGCGAGCATCCCGAGGAGAGGACGCAGGGATCGGCGCTGCTCGACCGAGCATCCTTCGAGTACCTCTTTGAGCAGGTACCGCCCCTACCTGCCCCCCTCGCTGCCATCCATAGCGCAGCATCATTCCTTTGGGATTGCCCCCTGTTATTCCCGCTTGGAACAGGGGAAGTTCGAGTTCATCCACGACGTGGCCTCTTGGAAGGAGCTGCCGAGCGAGCAGGAGGTGCAGAGGTTCAAGAACGAGAGCCTGGGCATGGCCGTGCTCCATCTCTCCCACATAGCCCTCAGGAAAGGCATCTCCCTGGAGGAAGTAGCCAGGAAATACAGGTGATTCCCCACGTTCCTCTCCCGGCATTCCAGCCTGGCTTGGGTTGGAAGGGCTCATCCCGCTTCCATGGATGAGACCCGGGGGCCTCCCGTTGCTTGCTCCAAGCCCCTTGAGCACATCCAAACCTTCTCCCTTCATCCCATCGCGGCATCCCGCAGGGAAGGACGTCCCCCCCGGAGCATCCCCAATCGCTCCCCATCCCTTGTTGTGCTCCGGCGCGGAGGAGAATCCCATTGTCCTCTGTAGGCTCTCCCCCCTTTTTCCTTACGGAATGCTGCCCAGGCTGCCCTAGCGAAGCCTTTCCCTTCCCTTGCCAGCTTCAAGGAGTGCATCCCGCGTTCCTTCCGCCGCCAGATCCAGCAGAGCAGCTTCGTGACCAGATTCCGGCTCCGGAACGTCTTCCGGAAGTTCCTGCAGCGCTTCCAGAGGCACACGGTGAGCGCCGGGAAGCTCACGCCTCAGGACCTCATGTACAAGTACTTGGCCACCTTGGAGCACCTCGCCCCTCGCTTCGGGAGCGAGCTCTTCCCGGTGCTGTCCTTGGATACCTCTTCGGAAGGGGAAAAGGGGCAGCTCAACGGGATCCATCCCGAGCACCCGGTGCTCCCTAAGGAGCCCGGTGTCACCCATGAGGTCCTGGTCACCGGCACAAGCGGGATCCAGTGGCGGGCAGTGCCCGTAGAGGTGGGTGCTTGCTCCTTCCCTTGTGCTCCCGTTGCTTTCCCGTTGATCCCAGTGTGCCCTGTAGGAATTGAGCCCTTCTCCCGTCTTTGCAGAGCACAGAGACCTCGTCCCATCGGGGCTACTTCGGCAGGAAGAGCCGGACCAAGGAGCTGGAGCCCAAGGGATCGGCTCCGGAGCGGGGTGATCCCAAATGGTCCCAGTTCTGTGACTTCCAGGAGGTCACCCACATCGTGCTCCGGGAATGCCGGGTCAGCATCCACCGGCAGGACAACAAGTGCCTGGTGAGCGGAGCTTCCCACATGGGAAGCACAAGGATCTGGTCCGGGTCCAGGCCATCAAGTCATGGAATGGGTTGGGAAGGGGCTGAGGAGAATCCAATCCCAGCCCTCTGCCAGGAGCAGGGACTGCTCCCATCGGACCCATCTCCATCTGACCCATCCCCGTGTCCCAGCACTCTCATGGGGCAGAACTTCCTTGTATCCCAGCTGAATTCCCAGTCCAGGTTGAGCCCACCCCTGCTGGGGCTCCCTGTCCCGCATCCCTTTAGCCCCATTCCTCCCTCTTAGGGTTCCTCTTTACTGGTGGCCTTCGGGTGCTGCTGAGCCTCTTCCCTCCCTCTTCCCAGGACGTGGTGCTTCCATGCGCCGGGAACGCTCTCTCCTTGGTCTCCTTGGTGGACGGCTACTTCCGCCTCACCGCTGACTCCAGCCACTACCTGTGCCACCAAGTGGCCCCCCCTCGGCTCCTCATGAGCATCCAGAACAGCATCCACGGACCCATGCAGTGAGTGGCTCATTCCCGGCGGTGGGAATGGATCGGGGTGGGGGTTGCTTATCCCATGGCATTTTTTTTTCCAGGGAGGAATTTGTCCTTGCCAAGCTGCGCCGGGAGGAGGAGGAAGGGCTCTACATCCTCCGCTGGAGCGGCCTGGACTTCAACCGGATCATCCTGTCTGTGGCCAAACGGGGCCGGGAGCAGGTAGGGCGGCGCGGCATTCCCGGGAATCTCGGGCTTGGAGCATCCCGGCTCGTGGGGGAGCCGCCGTGCGCATCCCCGCTCCCGCCGTTGCCAGGGGCCTGGCCCGCGGGGGAGCCTCGAGTACCGGCAGTTCCGGATCCAGAGGAAGGGCGATTCCTTCGTGCTGGAAGGCTGGGATCGGGAATTCCCCACCTTGCGGCAGCTGCTGGACGCGCTCAAGGGCTGCACGCTCAAGTCCGGCAACGAGAGCTTCGCGGCCAAGCGGTGCTGCCCCCCCAAAGCAGGAGGTAAAGGGGAGCCGGGCCGGGAGCAATCCCGGCGTTCCCGGAGCCTCCGCCTCAGCCTCTTCCCTGCCTCCGGCAGAGATCTCGGACCTGCTCATCGCCAGGAAGGCCAAGGCCGGCGCCAGGCAGCTCCTCAACCTCTCCCAGCTCAGCTTCCATCAGATCCGCAAGACAGAGATCACCCAGGTCCTGCCGGCGCCGCGGCATCCCCATCCCCATCCCGTGGGATGCCGCCCTCGCCCCTGGGGCGCCGTTGGGTTGGAGCAAGGAGAAGGGGGAGCAAAGGGGTGCCGGGAGCAGGAGCAGCCCCGGAGTGTGGCAGCGAGGGTGAAGGGCTGGAATAGCAGGAAAACACTGGGAACGGGCTCGGAATGACCCCGGCTCCATTGCGTGTCCCCTTGCAGAGAGCCCATTTGGGCCAAGGCACCCGCACCAACATCTACGACGGGGTGCTGAGCGTCCGTGGGGCCGGCGAGGATGAAGCCGAGCACTTCCCCACGGAGCCCAACAACAACGGCCGGGAGCTGCACGTGGTGCTGAAGGTGCTGGACCCCAGCCATAGGGATATATCCCTGGTGAGCCCGTCGGGAACGGCGTTCCGCCTCGCGCTGCTCCGTGGAAGGAGCCGGGAACGGGATGAGCTTCCCGGTCTTTTCCCAGCTTGGGAATGGCGCTTCCATGGGTGCTCCCGATCCCCGCAGGCCTTCTTCGAGACCGCCAGCCTCATGAGCCAAGTGGCCCACGGCCACCTGGCCTTCGTGCACGGCGTCTGCGTGCGCGGCTCCGAGAGTAAGCCATTGCCAGCCCTTGTCCCGGCCCTTCTTCCCGGCGCTGGGGGCACCAGCGGGATCACGGCTCCCTCTTCCCAGATATCCTGGTGGAGGAGTTTGTGGAGCACGGACCTTTGGACGTGCTGCTGAGGAAGGAGAAGGGCCGGATCGGCGTGGCCTGGAAGATCACCGTGGCCAAGCAGTTGGCCAGCGCCTTGAGCTACCTGGTAAGGCGCCTTCAAGGGATGCTTCCAGCCGGGAATGGGGCTGGAATCGCCTCCAAGCACTTGCTCGTGCCCTTGGTGCTGGGAATGAGCTGCTCTGTGCTTCCCAAAGCCCATCCTGGCCATGGGGGGGGGGATGGATCTTCCCCTTTCCTTTCATTCCCTGCTTGAGGTTTGGGTTTCTGCAGAGGGATAAGGAGGAGGGGAAGCAGGGAATGGGAGCCTGGAGCTTTTCCTTTGGGATCTGCCCAAGGAAGCTCCCCGAGGTCCTGCCCCTGGCTTGGGGCAGTCCCAAGCTGAGCACCGTGCTCTGTAGTGGGAATACCCGTACCCGTGCCTTGGGATTGGAGGAGCTTTCGGGTGGGTCCCTTTCCAAGGCATCCCGGGATTCCCTGGTTTCTCCCGGCAGGAAGACAAGCACCTGGTGCACGGCAACGTGTGTGCCAAGAACATCCTGCTGGCCAGGAAAGGCCTGGAAGAGGGAGCTGGGCCCTTCGTGAAGCTCAGCGATCCCGGCCTCAGCTTCGCCGTGCTCTCCCGGGAAGGTGTTGCCTTGTTCCACGCTCCCAGCGGGAATTCCAGGGGGATTCCCCCCCTTTTCCCTCCATCCCAGCCTCCGTTTGGTTGGGATTCGGGCCATGGCGAAGGATCCCATTGCGGGGAGCTTTCCCCCTTCTCCCTGCCTGCGTCCTCAGCATCCTTCCCGCGTCCCGCAGAGCGCGTGGACCGGATCCCTTGGATCGCTCCGGAATGCGTTTGGGATGTGGGGAACCTCAGCCCGGCCGCGGACAAATGGAGCTTCGGGACCACCCTGCTGGAGATCTGCTTCGATGCCCACGTCCCGCTGAAGGAGCGGGCCCCTTCCGAGGTGCTGATCCCGCTCCCGGCGCGGCTGCGGGCTTCCCGATGGGAACGCCGCCCTTTCCTGCCGCTCTCTCCCCTAGAAGGAGCGCTTCTATGAGAAGCGGCACCGCCTGCCCGAGCCTTCCTGCCGGGAACTGGGCTCCCTCATCTCCCAGTGCCTGGATTACAGCCCCGCCGGGCGGCCTTCCTTCCGCACCATCCTGCGGGACCTCACCCAGCTCCAGCCGCACGGTGAGCGCGGGCAACGGGGAGGAGGGAGGGAAGGGGGGGAAAGAGGGGGGAAATGGGGGAGAATGGGAAAAGGGAAGGAGGAATGTGGGAAAAGGATGGAAATGAGGGAGGGAAGGGAGGGTAGGAGGTGGAAAAACGGGGGAAAAATGGGAAAAGGGAAGGAGATATCTGGGAAAAGGGGGGGGAGGGAGGAAAGGGAAAAGGGGAAGGAAAAAATGGGGAAAGGAGGAAAAATGGGAAAAGGGAAGGAGGAATCTGTGAAAAGGGGGGGGAAGGGAGGAAAGGGAAAGAGGGAGGGAAAGAGATGGGAAAAGGGGGAAAAATGGGAAAAGGGAAGGAGATATCTGGGAAAAGGGGGGGAAAGAGAGAAAAGGGAGAGAAAGAGATGGGAAAAGGGGAGAAAATGGGAAAAGGAGAAACCTGGGAAAAGGGGAAAAAGGGAAAAGGGGAGGGAAAGAGATGGGAAAAGAGGGGAAAATGGGAAAGGAAAAATCCAGGAAAAGGGGGGGAATGAGGGAGGAAAGGGGAAAAGTCCAATGTGGGAAAGGGGCTGAAGGAGCAGCTCCCCCCTCCCCTCCTCTTCCCTCATTCCCAGCCCTCGTGGACATCAGCGCGGTGAATCCCGACTTCCCAGTCTCGGATCCCACGGTTTTCCAGAAGCGTTACCTGAAGAAGATCCGGGAGCTGGGGGAGGTATGTGCCCCCCCCCCCCCCATTCCAGAAACATGGATTTGGGGGGGAAGGGAATGGTCTTTGCCATCCCCCCAGATTTGAATTGGAATTCAGGATTCCCAAAGGAAATGCTGGGATAAATCCCTCAGGGATCAACCCCGCTTCGGGTGGGCCCAGGGCTTGTAGGTTATCCAGGTCCATTCCAGCCTCTTCCCAACCTGATTCCCAGTGACTCCCCATTGGAGGAATCCATCCTCTTCCCAACTGGATTCCAATGAATCCACAATGGATGAAACCATCCTTTTCCCAACCGGATTCCCAGCAAATCCATATTGGATGAATCCATCCTTTTCCCAACCGGATTCCCAATGAATCCACATCAGATGAATCCATCCTCTTCCCAACCCCATTCCCAACCAATAATCCACATTAGGTGAACCCATCCTCTTCCCAATGAATCCACATTGGACGAACCCATCCTCTTCCTAATGAATCCACATTGGACAAATCCATCCTCTTCCCAACCAATACACATTGGACGAACCCATCCTCTTCCCAACCCCATTCCCAAACAATCCACATTGGACGAACCCATCCTCTTCCCAACCAATCCACATTGGACGAACCCATCCTCTTCCCAATGAATCCACATTGGACAAATCCATCCTCTTCCCAACCAATCCACATTGGACGAACCCATCCTCTTCCCAACCCCATTCCCAACCAATCCACATTGGACGAACCTATCCTCTTCCCAACCAATCCACATTGGACGAACCCATCCTCTTCCCAACCAATCCACATTGGACGAACCCATCCTCTTCCCAATGAATCCACATTGGATGAACCCATCCTCTTCCCAATGAATCCACATTGGACGAACCCATCCTCTTCCCAATGAATCCACATTGGATGAACCCATCCTCTTCCCAACCAATCCACATTGGACGAACCCATCCTCTTCCCAATGAATCCACATTGGACAAATCCATCCTCTTCCCAACCAATCCACATTGGATGAACCCATCCTCTTCCCAACCAATCCACACTGGATGAACCCATCCTCTTCCCAACCCCATTCCCAATGAATCCACATTGGACGAACCCATCCTCCTCCCAGCCACCCCCCCACGGTCCCCTCTTCCTTTCCCGTGCCGTTGCTCCCCGGCGCCGCCGGGAAGCCGGGCTCCGGGCTCCTTGTCCCGCAGGGACACTTCGGGAAGGTTGGGCTCTACTGCTACGACCCCACCAACGACGGCACCGGGGAGATGGTGGCCGTGAAGTCCCTCAAGGCCGGATCCAGCCGGGAGCTCCTTTCCAGCTGGAAAAGGGAGATCCAGATCCTCAAGACCCTCTACCATGAGAACATCGTCAAGTACAAGGGGTGCTGCAGCGAGCAGGGTGGGCACCCATGGGTGCACGGGGCGGGGGGGGCACCCATAGGGCTGGGCCAGCACCCAATAGAGGGCTGAGGACCAAGGGGATGGGGAGGAGGAGCCCTAGGGAGCAGCTCCGGGGATGAAGGATGCTGGAAGGGATCAAGGGGAGGGCATCGGTGTGGGGCAGGGGGGTGGGATGCTGGGATGGGTTCAATGGGAACACTGGAAGGGGGCTGGGACACTGGGATGGGTTCAGTGGGAACAGTGGGAGGGGGCTGGGACACTGGGATGGGTTCAGTGGGAACACTGGGATGGGTTCAATGGGAGCACTGGGATGGGTTCAGTGGGAACACTGGGATGGGTTCAGTGGGAACACTGGGATGGGTTCAGTGGGAACACTGGGATGGGTTCAGTGGGAACACTGGGATGGGTTCAGTGGGAACACTGGGATGGGTTCAGTGGGAACACTGGGATGGGTTCAGTGGGAACACTGGGATGGGTTCAGTGGGAACACTGGGATGGGTTCAGTGGGAACACTGGGATGGGTTCAATGGGAACACTGGGATGGGTTCAGTGGGAACACTGGGATGGGTTCAATGGGAACACTGGGATGGGTTCAATGGGAACACTGGGATGGGTTCAGTGGGAACACTGGGATGGGTTCAATGGGAACACTGGGATGGGTTCAGTGGGAACACTGGGATGGGTTCAATGGGAACACTGGGATGGGTTCAATGGGAACACTGGGATGGGTTCAATGGAGAAGGATCGGACGCCCCATCCCTTGGAGCATCCCGGTTTAGCGTAGGGCACGGGGATGAGCTTCAGGTCCCTCCCACCCCATCCCCATTCCATGCTGCTCCGACCCCTTCAAGCCCCCAGTCCCCTCCCTGGTTTTAGGGGGGGGCACCGCTTCCCATAGGGGATTTGATGCCTTCTCCCTGGCTTCCCTGCCCTCCCCGCAGGCGAGAAGGTGGTGCAGCTCATCATGGAGTACGTGCCCTTGGGCAGCCTCCGGGATTACCTCCCCAAGCACAGCGTCGGCCTGGCGCACATCCTGCTCTTCGCCCGGCAGATCTGCGAGGTGAAGCCTCCTCCTTCCCTTCCCCAGCCCTCCTTCCCACTGCCTTCGAGCCTTTCCCGCTGCCCCTTCCCTAGGGAATGGCCTACCTGCACTCCCTGCACTACATCCATCGGGATCTGGCCGCCCGGAACGTGCTGCTGGAGAACGAGCACGTCGTGAAGATCGGGGACTTCGGCTTGGCCAAAGCCATCCCCGAGGGCCACGACTATTACCGGGTGCGGGAGGATGGGGACAGCCCCGTCTTCTGGTGGGTACCGCTATGGGGGGGATGATGGGTGCTGATGGGTGCCCGTGGGTGCTCATGGGTGACTATTACCGGGTGCGGGAGGATGGGGACAGCCCCGTCTTCTGGTGGGTACCGCTATGGGGGGGATGATGGGTGCTGATGGGTGCTCATGGGTGCTGATGGGTGCTCATGGGTGACTATTACCGGGTGCGGGAGGATGGGGACAGCCCCGTCTTCTGGTGGGTACCGCTGTGGGGGGGATGATGGGTGCTGATGGGTGCCCGTGGGTGCTGATGGGTGCTCATGGGTGACTATTACCGGGTGCGGGAGGATGGGGACAGCCCCGTCTTCTGGTGGGTACCACTCTGGGGGGGATGATGGGTGCTGATGGGTGCTCATGGGTGCTGATGGGTGCTCATGGGTGACTATTACCGGGTGCGGGAGGATGGGGACAGCCCTGTCTTCTGGTGGGTACCGCTATGGGGGGGATGATGGGTGCTGATGGGTGCTCATGGGTGCTGATGGGTGCTCATGGGTGACTATTACCGGGTGCGGGAGGATGGGGACAGCCCCGTCTTCTGGTGGGTACCGCTCTGGGGGGGATGATGGGTGCTGATGGGTGCTCATGGGTGCTGATGGGTGCTGATGGGTGCCGATGGGTGCCCCGCGGTCCAGGTACGCCGTGGAGTGCCTCAAGGAGTGCAAGTTCTCGTACGCCTCGGACGTGTGGTCCTTCGGGGTGACGCTCTACGAGCTGCTGACGCGCTGCGACGGGGGGCAGAGCCCGCCCGTGGTGAGGCCGGGAATGGGAATGGGACTGGGATCGGGATCTGGAATGGGATCGGGACTGGGATCAGGATCAAGAATGGGATCGGGATCTGGAATGGGATCAGGATCTGGAATGGGATCGGGACTGGGATCGGGATCTGGAATGGGATCGGGATCTGGAATGGGATCGGGACTGGGATCGGGATCGGGAATGGGATCGGGACTGGGATCGGGATCTGGAATGGGATCGGGACTGGGATCGGGATCAAGAATGGGATCAGGACTGGGATCGGGATCAAGAATGGGATCAGGACTGGGATCAGGATCCGCATTGGGAATGGAATCAGGATCGGGAATGGGATTGGGATTGGGATCAGGATGGGGATTGGGATCAGGATCAAGAATGGGGTCGGCAATGGGACTGGGACTGGGATTGGTATCAGGATCAGGATTGGGAATGGGATCGGGGTCGGGAATTGGATCAGGATTGGTATTGGGATCAGGATCTGGGCTGGGATCGGGTTTGGGATTGGGATCGGGATTGGGATCAGGATCAGGATCTGGGCTGGGATCGGGTTTGGGATTGGGATCGGGATTGGGATCAGGATCAGGATCTGGGCTGGGATCGGGTTTGGGATTGGGATCGGGATCAGGATTGGGATTGGGATCAGGAGCTGGGCTGGGATCGGGTTTGGGATTGGGATCGGGATCAGGATTGGGATTGGGATCAGGATCTGGGCTGGGATTGGGTTTGGGATTGGGATCGGGATTGGGATCAGGATCAGGATCTGGGCTGGGATTGGGATCGGGACCGGGATTGGGATCAGGATTGGGATTGGGATCAGGATCTGGGCTGGGATTGGGTTTGGGATTGGGATCGGGATTGGGATCAGGATCAGGATCTGGGCTGGGATCGGGTTTGGGATTGGGATCGGGATCAGGATTGGGATTGGGATCAGGAGCTGGGCTGGGATCGGGTTTGGGATTGGGATCGGGATCAGGATTGGGATTGGGATCAGGATCTGGGCTGGGATTGGGTTTGGGATTGGGATCGGGATTGGGATCAGGATCAGGATCTGGGCTGGGATTGGGATCGGGATCGGGATCCCGGGGTCACGGTTTCCCGGTTCCCCCCCCCCCATCCCGCAGAAGTTCCTGGAGCTGATCGGGGCCACGCAGGGGCAGATGACGGTGCTGAGGCTCATCGAGGTCCTGGAGCGCGGCCGGCGCCTGCCCAGCCCCAGGGACTGCCCGGCAGAGGTGATGCTGCCCCGCGGGCCTCCATCCCTGTGTCCATGTCCCTGTCTGTGTGTCCTTGTGTCCGTGTCCTTGTGTCCATATCCCTGTGTCCATATCCATGTGTCCATATCCCTGTGTCCATGTCCATGTGTCCATATCCCTGTGTCCATGTCCCTGTCTGTGTGTCCTTGTGTCCGTGTCCTTGTGTCCATATCCCTGTGTCCATATCCATGTGTCCATATCCCTGTGTCCATGTCCATGTGTCCATGTGCGTGTGTCCATATCCATGTGTCCATATCCATGTGTCCATGTCCGTGTGTCCATATCCATGTGTCCATGTCCGTGTGTCCGTGTCCATGTGCCCAGCTCTGTCTCTGTCCCCCTGGGCTGTGCTGCCCCCCAGGGCAGGAAGGAAGCGGGGAGGAAAAGGGAAGTGGAGCCAAGGGAGGGGAAAAAAGTGGTAAAAGGGGAAAAAGTGGGGAAAAAGTGGGGGAAAAGTGGAAAAAGAGGGGAAAAAAGTGGGGAAGAAAATTGGAAAAAGTGGGGAAAAAGTGGGAAAGGGGGGAAAACTGGGGAAAAATTGGGAAAAGTGGGGAAGAAAAGTGGAAAAAGGGGAAAAAAGTGGGGAATAAAGTGGGAAAATTGGGAAAAAAGTGGGCAGAGAAGGAAAAGGGGGAAGGGGAAGGGGAAGGGGGGGTGCCGCTCCCGGTCCCATCCGCCCCCCTTGCCCCCAGCTCTACCGCCTGCTGCGGAGCTGCTGGGAAGCGGAGGCCTCGTTCCGGCCGGCGTTCCAGAACCTCGTGCCCCTGCTCCGGAGCTTCCAGGAGAAATACCGGGACCAGGCGCCCTCCGTCTTCAGCCTCTGCTGATGGGGGGGGACACGGACACGGACACAACGGGGACCCCCCCGATCTGCTCCCCATCGCACTGCATTGCGGGGGGGGACGGACAGGACCCCCTCTCTGCTCCCCATCCCACTGCATTGCGGGGGGGTTCCTGCATCCCGATGCCGCCATTCCCGGTATTCCCAGGGCCGGGATGAGGCCGAACACTGTGAATGAGACTTTGGGGGGGAGGAGGATGAGGACACCCCCCCCCCCAATTTGGGGGGCCCCCTCCCCAATGAATGGGGCTTCAGCACCAGGACTGTGGCACTTTAAGGGGGGGGCACTGCTCTATGGGGCTCCTCCTTATTTATTGCCCCCCCTTCCCCCAGCAGTGGGGGCGTGGGGGGGCGGTGGGGTTGGGGGGGGCGGTGGGGTGGGGGGGACCCCCCCTTTCTCCCCCCCAATAAAGGATGTAATGGCCCCAACCAGCTCCATTATGGCCTCCTGGGGGGGTCTATGGGGGGCCTGTAGGGGGGTTCGGGGGCCCTATAGGGCGGGGGGGTCAGGAACCCCTATGGGGGGGTCTCTATAGGGGGTTATAGGGCTGCGGGGTCTTTTGCGAATCATCCAATCAGAGCGCGGTAATCGTCCAATCAGAGCGCTGGGCTCGCCGCCTTTTGCCCAATCAGAGCGCGGAACACAAACTAAAAGAGCCGTTTCCATCCAATAGCGAGCCCCGTTCCTCCCGCCTCCGCTTGTGTCGCTCTGCCCAATCCCCGCCTCGCACACTCCGCGCCTCGGCTGTCGCGACCAATGAGACAGCGCCTTCTATCGCAGCCCTCCGCTTAAGCTCTCCAAGCGCCCAAGATGGCGGCCGCGTTGTCCGTACCGGGGCCCGCGGAGGCTCCGGTACCGGAGGTAGGCCGCGGCCTAGGCCGGGCCCCGGAGGAGGCGCTGCCGCCGCTGGACCGGGCCGAGGTGCGGAGCCGCTTGGCCCGCAGCGCCCGGCAGTTCCGGAACCGCCGGAAGTTGCTGATCCGGGGGCTCCCGGCGGACGTGAGCAACCAGGTACCGGGTCCCGGCCCCCGCCGGGTCCCTGCCGGTATCCCGTGGGATCACCGCGGGCCCTGTGCCCCGTCCCCTCTTCCCGTTATCCCGGCGCCGGGATGCTCCGCAGGGACTGGGCCGGGACGGAGCCGCCGATCCCGGCCTTCCCCGTTCCCGTAGGAGGTGCATGACCTGCTCCGGGACTACAAGCTCAAGTATTGCTTCGTGGACAAGGGCAAAGGGACCGGTGAGTTATCCCGATCCCGGGGATCCCAAATCCATGGCGTTGGGACCCCCCCCCCCCCCTTGGATCTGGGGACCCCAGTGCAGGAGCGGGGCTGGGAATGCTCAGCCCGGGGCTTTGGGCAGGGACAGGACAAGGGGGTGGCACCGGGAAGTTGGGGACGGAGCCGGGAGCTCGTCCCGGTGCGGGTGCCGGGATGCTGGGATGGGGTCAGTGGAGGCGCTGGGGATGCTCCAGCTGTGGTACCCCCGCCTGGAGCCGGGATGCTCCTGAGCCCATTCCCAGCCATTCCCTGCTGCTTTTCCCCTCTTGGTCGCCTCAAACCCCCCCTTATCCCCTAGCAATTCCCTTCCAACCCAGCTCCATCTTCCCCCCCGCCACTTTTCCCTATGGCATCACTGGGATGGGTTCAGTGGAGACACTTTGGATGCTCCAGTTGTGGTACCCCTGCCTGGAGCCGGAGGTCGGACTGGGATGCTCCTAATCCCGTTCCCTGCTGCATTTCCCCTCTTGCTCACCTCCCCCCCCCCCATCCCACAGCGATTCCCTTCCAAACCAGCTCCATCTTCCCCCCCACTTTTCCCTATGGCATCACTGGGATGGGTTCAGTGGGGACACTTTGGATGCTCCAGTTGTGGTACCCCTGCCTGGAGCCGGAGGTCGGACTGGGATGCTCCTAATCCCGTTCCCTGCTGCTTTTCCCCTCTTGGTCACATCCCCCCCCACTTATCCCACAGCGATTCCCTTCCAACCCAGCTCCAGCTTTCACCCCAAACCCCCACTTTTCCCTATGGCATCACTGGGATGGGTTCAGTGGAGACACTTTGGATGCTCCAGTTGTGGTACCCCTGCCTGGAGCCGGGATGCTCCTAATCCCGTTCCCTGCTGCTTTTCCCCTCTTGGTCACATCCCCCCCCACTTATCCCACAGCGATTCCCTTCCAGCCCAGCTCCCTCTGCCCCCCTTTACCCTCTGCCCCCCATCCCCGTTTCACTCCCCCCCCGCCCCCTTGCAGCCTTCGTCACGCTCCTGAACCGCGACCAGGCCGAGGCGGCCATCGCCCGCCTGCACCGGAGCCGCCTGCGCGAGCGCGAGCTCTCGGTGCAGCTCCAGCGCCCGGAGGCCCTGCTCTGCGTCGCCAACCTCCCGCTGCGCCTCAGCCAGCAGCAGTTCCAGGAGCTCGTCCGCCCCTTCGGCAGCCTCGAGCGCTGCTTCCTGGTCTACAGCGCCCGGAGCGGCCACTCCAAAGGCTACGGCTTCGTGGAGTACATGAAGAAGGAGGCGGCGGCGCGAGCCAAGCTCGAGCTGCTCGGCCGCCGCCTGGGCACCCGCACCCTCTACGTGCACTGGATGGACGCCAAGCACTTGACCCCGGAGCTGCTGCACTCGCGGTGCCTGTGCGTGGACCAGCTGCCCCGCGGTTATTCCGACCGGGACGAGCTGCGCCGCCGCTTCTCTGCCGCCGGCGCGCCCGCCTTCTGCCAGGTGAGCCGGGCCTTCCCGTTGGGAACGGGGCGGGGGGGGACGCGCCGGGAGCCGGCTGCTCACCCGCCTGTCCCCAGCTGGCCTACGGGCAGGACGGGCAGCTCCAGGGCTTTGCCGTGCTGGAGTACGAGTCGCCGGAGCTGGCCGAGCTGGTGCAGGAGGCCACCGACGGCATCGCGCTCGCCGGGAAGCACGTCCGCGTCTCCTTCTGCGCGCCCGGCCCGCCCGGCCGCAGCATGCTGGCTGCGCTCACCGCGGCACAGGCGACGGTGGGGCTCCTGCTCCCCTCCGCCCCGTTCCCCTTTCCCTTCCCCGCTTTCCTTCCCTTCCATTCCCATCCCTTCCCCAGTTCCCATCCCTTCCCCAGTTCCCACCCCTTCCCTAGTTCCTTTCCCTTCCTTTCCCTTCCCTTCCCAGTTTCCTTCCCTTCCCCGGTTTCCTTCTTTTCCCAGTTTCTTTCCCTTCCCTTTCCCAGTTTCCTTCCCTTCCCTTTCCCAGTTTCCTTCCCTTTCCCAGTTTCCTTCCCTTTCCCTTCCTTTCCCTTCCCAGTTTCTTTCCCTTCCCGGTTTCCTTCCCTTCCCTTTCCTGGTTTCCTTCCCTTTCCCAGTTCCATTCCCTTCCCTTTCCCAGTTCCATCCCCTTCCCTTTCCCAGTTCCATTCCCTTCCCTTTCCCAGTTCCATTCCCTTCCCTTTCCCAGTTCCATTCCCTTCCCTTTCCCAGTTCCATTCCCTTCCCTTTCCCAGTTCCATTCCCTTCCCCAGTTTCATTCCCTTCCCTTTCCCAGTTCCATTCCCTTCCCTTCCCCAGTTTCATTCCCTTCCCTTTCCCTGTTTCCTTCCCTTTCCCAGTTTCCTTTCCTTCTCTTTCCCTGTTTCCTTCCCTTTCCCAGTTTCCTTCCCTGCCCTTCTCCTTGCTCCCCTCCCCGTGGTAACGTGCACCGCTGCCATTCCCAAGGCTGGCATCCATTCCCTATGGACGCGCTCCCATTCCTCGGCTCCCCGGGGTTGGGGGTGGTGGGAACGGGCCCCCGATCCCTAGGGAATGCGGCGGGGGCGCTCCCTCATCCTGCTGCATTCCCAAGGCCCTGACCCGCGGCCAGGGGCTGCTCCCGGAGCCCAGCGTGCTGCAGATCCTGAGCAGCCTGGGCAACCCCGCGTCGCTGCAGCTCCTGCTGGCTCCGCTGCTGCCCGCCGGGAAGCAGGGTAAGGAAAAGGGGGGGATCCCATGGGAGCGCCCTGCCGGGAGGCAATTCCAGGCCTCTGGAATGTTCCCCACCCGCCAGGCATCCTGGGAGCCGCCCCCTCCGTGCCCCTGGGGAGCAACCCGGCGCTGGCCACCGCGCTCCTCCAGCTGCTGCTGCAGCCCCGAGGCCCGCAGGTAACCGGGAATGCCCCGGGGGACAAGCGGGATGGGGATGGGGGGTTTGGATGGAGAAGGGGCTTGGTGCTCGCTGTCAAGGGCATGGAGCCGGGCTCTGGTCCCAAGGGATGGGGCAGGCTGCTCCGGGGGGGGTAGAGGGAAGAGTGGATCCATGTAAAGGGTGGTCGGGATGGGAACACGGCATTCCCGAGCCAGTGAGTGCCAATGGACCCCGTGCTTCCACCCCACTTCCATGATCCCGGATACCCTGGGTGCCAATGGGCCCCGTGCTTCCACCCCGCTTCCATGATCCCGGATAACTTGGGTGCCAATGGACCCCGTGCTTCCACCCCACTTCCATGATCCCGGATACCCTGGGTGCCAATGGACCCCGTGCTTCCACCCCGCTTCCATGATCCCGGATAACTTGGGTGCCAATGGACCCCGTGCTTCCACCCCACTTCCATGATCCCGGATAACTTGGGTGCCAATGGACCCCGTGCTTCCACCCCGCTTCCATGATCCCGGATAACTTGGGTGCCAATGGACCCCGTGCTTCCAACCCGCTTCCATGATCCCAGATAACTTGGGTGCCAATGGACCCCGTGCTTCCACCCCGCTTCCATGATCCCGGATAACTTGGGTGCCAATGGACCCCGTGCTTCCAACCCACTTCCATGATCCCAGATAACTTGGGTGCCAATGGACCCCGTGCTTCCACCCCACTTCCATGATCCCGGATAACTTCCCATTATCCTTAACAGAGACCGGGAATCCTGGGGGAGGCACCGCTGAGCTCCCGGCCCCACAGCGCCCTGGCTCCGGCTCAGCCCCCGGGCCCGATCCTGCCTGAGCTCCCCGCCGGTAAGAGCAGGAGATCCCTTGGGATCAGGATGGATCCCGGTGCC